AAACCAGGACTAAACCAAGTCTAAACCAGGACTAAGCCAAGTCTAAACCAGGTCTAAACCAGGACTAAAACCAGGTCTAAACCAAGTCTAAACCAGTGCTAAACCAAGACAAAAAACAGGTCTAAACCAGGACTAAACCAAGACTAAAAACAGGTCTAAACCAAGTCTAAACCAGTGCTAAACCAAGACAAAAAACAGGTCTAAACCAGGACTAAACCAAGTCTAAAAAAACAGGTCTAAACCAAGTCTAAACCAGGACTAAGCCAAATCTAAACCAGGACTAAACCAGGTCTAAAACCAGGTCTAAACAAGTCTAAACCAGGACTAAAACCTAAAGGACTAAACCAAGTCTAAACCAGGAAAACCTAAACCAAGTCTAAACCAAGTCTAAACCAGGACTAAACCAAGTCTAAACCAGGACTAAAACCAGGTCTAAACCAGGACTAAAACCAGGTCTAAACCAAGTCTAAACCAGGACTAAGCCAAGGTCTAAACCAAGTCTAAACCAGGTCTAAACCAAGTCTAAACAGGACTAAACCAGGTCTAAACCAGGACTATGCCAAGTCTAAACCAGGTCTAAACCAAGTCTAAACCAGGACTAAACCAAGTCTAAACCAGTCTAAACCAGGACTAAACCAAGTCTAAACCAGGACTAAACCAAGTCTAAACCAGGTCTAAACCAGGACTAAACCAAGTCTAAACCAGGACTAAAACCAGGTCTAAACCAAGTCTAAACCAGGACTAAACCAAGTCTAAACCAGGACTATGCCAAGTCTAAACCAGGTCTAAACCAGGACTAAAACCAGGTCTAAACCAAGTCTAAACCAGTGCTAAACCAAGACAAAAAACAGGTCTAAACCAGGACTAAAAACAGGTCTAAACCAAGTCTAAACCAGTGCTAAACCAAGACAAAAAACAGGTCTAAACCAGGACTAAACCAAGACTAAAAAACAGGTCTAAACCAAGTCTAAACCAGGACTAAGCCAAATCTAAACCAGGACTAAACCAGGTCTAAAACCAGGTCTAAACCAAGTCTAAACCAGGACTAAACCAAGTCTAAACCAGGACTAACCAAGTCTAAAACCAGGTCTAAACCAAGTCTAAACCAGGACTAAACCAGCCAAGTCTAAACCAAGTCTAAACCAGGTCTAAACCAGGACTAAAACCAAGTCTAAACCAGGACTAAACCAAGTCTAAACCAGGACTAAACCAGGTCTAAACCAGGACTAAACCAGGTCTAAACCAAGTCTAAACCAGGTCTAAACCAGGACTAAACCAAGTCTAAACCAGGACTAAACCAAGTCTAAACCAGGACTAAACCAAGTCTAAACCAGGACTAAGCCAAGTCTAAACCAAGTCTAAACCAGGACTAAAACCAGGTCTAAACCAAGTCTAAACCAGGTCTAAACCAAGTCTAAACCAGGACTAAAACCAGGTCTAAACCAAGTCTAAACCAAGACAAAAAACAGGTCTAAACCAAGTCTAAACCAGGACTAAGCCAAGTCTAAACCAGGACTAAAACCAGGTTTAAACCTAGTCTAAACAAGGACTAAACCACAACTAAATCAGGACTAAACTAGAACTAAACCAGGACTAAACCATGTCACGCCTCCTACGCCTCCAGTCCGTGAAAATATTGCTGTCGCAACTTAATAATTCCCATGTGTCGGAATGGCGGAATGTTGAAAAAAATACGCTGCTTCTCTGACAATTAGACATTCATGTCGGAATGGCAGCATGTAACCCCCTTTATTCTTGAGTAACCCTTTAGTCTGTCTATATCTTCAAAGCTGAAAACGCTCTGTTCCACCTTATGATGTCATGAAGTTGTAGTTTTCAAGTGAACAGCTAATTTCCAACTTCAGTTCAGCAGACATCGGCAGTTCCAGGGCTGAAATGATCCAAATGATTCCAGTGAAGATGTGTGGAGTTTAAAAACACCGTGGCACACCTGTATCACCACACGATGACATCACAAGGTGGAACAGAGCGACAGTTGGAACAGTTTGAGAGAAGAACTCAAGCCTAAATGTGCAGGGTTTGTGTGTTAAACATGTAAATGAAACAAAACACAACTCCAGGTCTGTTTGTGATAAGGAAAATACCTTCATCTAGACCCTTTGATTTGAATTGAATAAAATAAAAAAATGTATGAACCACTGCTGTCCTCGAACATTCACAATATACAAGACTGTTACACAAAACCATTTTCAAACAATTTTCAAAAATCAGCAGATTTGCTCGGCCGACGTTGGCCTGAGGATGTGGTTATCAAGTCTGAAAAGGCGTACGAGAGGGAACTATGTCAACTGTCAACATATCCTCCATAACACCTCTTTCAACACGACACTGGGCAAGCAAGACAAAGTTTTCATCATGTTGCTTTTAAAGACATTTCTAATCACAGGTAAGGTTTTATTTATTCACTTTTTTTTTAAACCATTTCAGACTAGGAAGAATTCAAAACAGCTCAATTCTATGTGTTTATTTAGGTCTTGTCTTCACATCCACATGTTTTCTATTAAGTGGAAGTTTCGTGGAACACAATGTCGGCGATCACATCACCCTGACCTGCTCCATTTCTGAAAAATCCGACATCATGTATTGGTTTAGGCAGAATGTCGGGCACGTCCCTACGCTTATATCTACTCTTTATTCGTTCGACAAAAGGGGGATGTTTTACGGTGAATTCGCCAACAATGAGAGGTTCGGTTTGACTCCTGACAACCGCCTGAACATTTCGAAGTTGCAAGTTACCGACACGGCCACGTACTACTGCGCCTCGAGCCAACTGTACAAGCTCACCTTCTCGGAGGGGACCAGTGTAGTTGTGAGAGGAACTGATTCGTACATCGAAGCAGAGATTCATCAGTCTCCAAGTGAGGGCACAGAACCGGGGAAATCTGTGGTTTTAAACTGCAGCGTTCAGACTGAGAGTTGCGAAGGACGACACAGGGTTCACTGGTTCAAGCAGTTTGAGGAATCGGTTGCGGGGTTGCTTTACAGCCACGGAGGAAGCGGCGATCAGTGTGAGAACAAAACGGACAGTCCAACCAACTCCTGTGTCTACAGCCTCCCCGTTCACAACGCGAGCTCAGAGCAGACTGGGACCTACTACTGCGCTGTGGCCGCCTGTGGACACCTGCTCTTTGGGAAGGGAACCAAACTGAACGGTAAGCAAATACACACATTTTGAAATACGGATTTATACTGTGTTAGGACTAAAGAGGAAATACGCAACATTTAAAGCAAGAGCAAAAACAGGGCCTGAATGAAGACACAAGCATTTTTATTTTTCTGTGTATGTGAGCAAAATCTGTCCAGTTCAGACATACAGTATAAGCAGTTCTTAAAAGGTCAAAATTAGACTGCTGTGTTCTGTTTGCATCTAAGTATAAATAATTTTACTCTCCAAGAATCAGGAAGTTATTCATTAGGATGCTAGTTGTTGTTAGCTTTACTGTGGTGGTGACTCTGCTCTGAAAGTTGTAAAAAGTTCTTATAAACTCATGCCGGTGAATAATCACTACGAATGGAATCCATGAGGTAAGTGGTTTAACTTTGGACTGTACAAACTGTTTAAAATTAACTATGAGGAGCAACTTTTTTCACACACTTTGAACCCAGCAAAAACTCTTAGTTCAGATGTTTTTCGTTGGTCTGAAGGCTTCAATCACACACTGAAATAAATAAATCAATAAATAAATAAAGCGGATCCAGACCTCAAAAAAGAGATAGTCTCAGTCGGCTTGACTCAGCACCAAATGCTAAACTCTGGTGTGAATGCGAACTCAGGTCCAAGACCATAGACAGTAGGTACAAACAAACTATTCGAAATGCATCATGGGATGGCCTCAATTTCCACAGTCCCGAATTGAGCATGCACCCCGGCCCTGCCCCCCCCGGTCCGGCGCCGTCCGTACCCCACAGAGGGAGGTCCGTGTGGTCTGCACGTAGTCCACATGTGCACCTGTACGAGTGAGCTACAAGCTGACCGTTTTACTGGCGTGTTACAGCACTAAGCCAATGATGTTCATTATGTCTTCTTATATACTTTAACTTCTTAGTTCTTTTTAAAGACAATGCAGTAAAGTGTATTTACCTTGTTGACATGTTTCGGCTGCTAGCTGCAAGCCATCTTCAGAACTGTCAACAAGGTAAATACACTTTACTGCATTGTCTTTAAAAAGAACCTAAGAAGTTAATGTTACAGGCACTGTTTGGAAAAAGCATGTACCAGGTATTTAATTAAATATTTAAAAAAATCTTTCTGTGTAAATGTTGAAAGTTACAATGTGGACACCTGCAGCTTATAGACAAGTGCGGCCTATGTATGTACAGATTTTTATTTATTTATTTTAATTTTTTTTTCTTTCAAAATTGAGTTGATGCAGCTTATATTCAGGTGCGCTCAATAGTCCGGAAATTATAGAAGTTAAATTTAAAGTGCTGACACAGAGATGATGTTAACAGCTGTTTTACACCATATCTGTACTGGAGCATAACAGTTTTTACATAATAAAAGTAAATTGGGTAAATTAACATTTTCTTCTTGACGAGTTTTTGTCACACTTAAATGTCTGAGTTAGTATTTCTATTTTTGTGATCTAACTTTTTTGTTTTGTTTTGTTCATGTAGTTTTAACAGAATCGGCCCAGGTCACCGTCCTGAGTGCTGCGCTGACGTTCACTTCTGTTGTGGTTGTTCTTCTGGCTCTTCTTATCTGCATCTTAAACAAGAGGAAGAGCACAGGTTTGTTCTTGATGTTTTTAATGTGTTCAAATGAAATCTGGAGATTGTGTTAAGACACTGTTTTCTTTCCAGAGTCGTACATCGTTTCCACCTCTTACAAAACCATATCAGAGGTAGGTTTGCTTTCTATGGCACTATGTTCATTCAATCACAAAAATGTTTTACTTTTTTACCATGTTATAACATTATTCCCTCATGTAAATGTGCCTGAATTGTTTAAAGTGTCATCCATGCATTTTTGAGTCATGTCTCCCAGGGCCTGTGTGAATCCTCCCCCACAGTTAGAACACTCCTGTCCAAGGCTCCAGCACTGCTATTTTATATAAATATACAAAAACAAGACACAAATCAATACAATACAACTTCACAAACCTGATGAATGTGCAGCAGTTTCATCAGCAGCGTGCTCCCTGATTGTGTTGTGATAGTGCTCTGAAGAGGGAGTGACTTAGCATGGGGAGCAAGAAGAGGAGGGACTCAGAGCATAAAAAAACTCCATTAAAATGATTATAATACGTTGTTTGCGGTGCGGCACAACAGTAGTAGTTCCTCTTGGGTCAGACTGTATCTTGCTGAACATCATCCAGATCATCCAGAATAAAGCTGCAGTGTCTCTACATGATGATAATTTGTGCTTTTGTGCTTTTATTCCACTAGACGATCAAAAAAGGAGATGTTCTTTACTATGTGGCCATGGAGCAGAGGAAGAGTCAGAGGTCCAGAAGACACAGGGACGACACCTGGAGTGAATGTGTCTATTTCAACGTCCAGTAGAGAAGAAAGAGTACAGAGTGACCTGGGGCCTCGTGGAGGGGCTCATGGCTCCGCTTTAAGCCCTGTGCTTAAGAATCACTGCAGGTTTAATCTTGATGTTTACTTTAAAATGAAATGTTATGTATAAATCATGTTTTATTAACTGTTAATCATGACATATTGGAGTTCCCTCACCATTATTTAGCTCAGAGTTGTATTCTGATTGACCCGTGCATGTTTGACTAATCCTGCATTGTCCCCTATTTGAGGCTTGTGTGCTCCAAAGATTTCAGTTTTCATCTGCCCTTTACCCCCACTGCTCTGAATTTATCTGCAGTTAAAATAAATCAGACTTTGAATTTGAAAAATCACAGACTAAAAATATAGATCAGACCATTCAGATCAGACCAGGGATTTTAGGTTTAAACACACTGGATTTCATGTAAGGCTCATTCTGCTTTCTGATTGGATAATCATCTTGAGAACCAAAACTCCAAATCATAACAGAGAAATGGAACATCATGCCCCTGTTCTTGTAATTAAGAATAAATTCTCATTACATTTGTTATCAGTATTGTTTGATTTGAACATGTGTACCTTGTATCTGGGGACAGAGACAGCTCAGGTTATGGTATTAAAAGTCTTTAAAATCTTGCATACCGTTTGTTTAAAGTCATTTTAACCATCTCCAAATACAAAATAAATAATGAGCATTTCAAGTTACACATCAACAAAAGCATCACCACACACAACCAAACAGTGTGAACAGAGCAAGCAGGAAGCCCGAAAAATCCCCTCCTGTCTATAATGACAGCGTCTGTAGCGTGCAAACTGTCCGGCGGTGAGCTTGGTGTCAGCCGCTTTCTCTTGGTCTGAGGTGAGATGTGCGAATGACGGTAAAACTGTTTCCACTGGTGGAAAATAAACACAGGAAGTACCGGCCTGCAAACGTCAAGACCACTATCAACGCTCTCGTCGCAAAATAAACTGTCTATCTCTACCTCTAACTCCATCATGATTTGAAATTCAAGATCAGATTCTGTTGCAAATGACGGTGCATTGGTGAAATGTTGAAATGTTGCATGCATCGAAAAGTTATTTGTTGTGCCGTTGTTGTGGACGGTGTTATTGTGAGAGGACCAGTTAGCTTTGTGGTTTCAACAGGATGTCTCCAAAAAGAAGACGGGGGCTAGATGATTATCTCGACTGTATCAAGGTATGAGACGCGACAGGAGGATGAAAAGCACATTCAGTTTGCACTAAACAATATATCACAATAAAATCGAAAAGCCAGTTATTTAGTTAATTGAAAGTTCACAGTAAACAACAAAATAACTTTTTTTATGGACAGAAAAAAGTTAATTCAGTAGTTAGTTTGTATACATCTACAAGCATGTTCTGAATTATATTTTAGTCTTCAGTCAAATGTTACTGATCCTTGGACAGAAATTCTACTTTTTAAACATAAATTGCAAATGTAATGGTTATTGCAATACTTGTCAGAGCAAAATAAAGTGCACAATCTTAAATTACAGGTTTTATTATACTAAAAATACAATGAAAAACATACATTCTTACCATAAGTAGGATCACCTCTCCACAGATCTGACCTGTAAGTTGGCCTAGTGGATTCACATGCATGGAGATAGATGAGTTTGATGTCGTTCCGTGAAACATTCCAGTTCCACCAGAAAAGTTACACAGAGTGCTATTAATTTAACTTTGTTTTTTTTTTTTTTTACTTATTGTTGCTTTTTCTCTATAAGGTTTGGACCAGTTTGAGTTCATCAACCAGCCACATTTAAAGGTTCCATATTCTGATCTATGTTCTAATGTTTCCTCATCACAAACAGACCTGGAGCTGTGTGTTTTGTTTCATGTTTAACACACAAACCTGCATTTTTAGGCTCAGCTCTTCTCTCAAAAGGAAAACACTCCATTCCACTTTGTGATGTCATGTGGCAAAACACCTCCACTAGAATTATTTGGATGATTTCAACCCTGGAATTGTCAATCTCTACTGACCTCAAACCCGGATTATCCACATGGCCCGTGGCACCAACCATTCACAATCAGTGGGGGGGCACCACAGGATACAAACTTTTAAAATATTTTTCATAAATTTGTATGTTATTCACTTGAAAATGTTAAATGGCCATACATAACTCATCATTAACACTAATTTCATAACACCTACTTGATACACATTTTGAATTGAGACATTTGATTATCCTTACATGTACTTTTGTACTAACTTTTTTTTTTTTTTTTTTCTGGGGACCCATATTTTAAAAGTCACAAACCTTCATGACCCAAGTTAATAGACATTATTCCTAAATCACAAAATAAAGGTGTGACCATGATTGAACATTAATGAGGATGTTTTATTGTTGACTGACTGATCGTGTCTCTGAACAATTTGTATTACTCAAGTTTGAAACTATGAAAAACAGTAATCAGTTTTTCTCACAGAGAATAGGTTAGGCAAGGCGGTGCTGCGGAAAAAATAAGGAGCTGGGAGTTGGGCGCATAGATTCCATGTGTAGTTAATTATACAAAAGTTCAAGGTCAAAACAATCAAGAGTGCAAGTCATGTGAAGAAGTACATGCATGCTGCTGAGTGTTGCATTCAGGCCACACAAACCACAGGTCGGGTTGTGCTTTCATTCTTCTACCGTTGCTTGGCAAAGTCATAACATGCAAATTGAAAGTGTGGGGGGGTTTTTAGGTTATGTCAGATAGTGCAAGTTATGTTCTAATTACCCACAAATCATTTCCGAATGCATAGATTTCGTGACGCAGTATGTCTGTGATGCTACCTGTAACGAACGGCCTGTTCGTTACGTAATAATTACACATGCACTTTCATTCACTTTGCACTTTATATATTGCACAGTATAGCACGCAGCACTTATAAGATACGCTAATTTGCACATATTAACATATTAAGAATTGCACACATTTGTATTGTTTTAAATAGATATATTTATTGAGAACATTTTCGGGTGTCACGTGGGCCGGTCGGACGGGCACTTCCGGGTTTGGCGGCCGCCGGTCTGCGGAGATACACCGAAAGTTACAATTGGATAGTGTGCAATATATGTGCCGTGTTTTAAATGAGTTGTGTCTTGTGTGTGTTTGCGTGTGTGCCATGTGGGTATTTTAGAGTGTGAGAGTGGGATGTGCGTGCATGTTTGGTATTTGTTAGTGCTTTTACTTACCCGTGTCTTCTGTCCAGGTGTCTGGCGAAAAGATTCCCCGGGGAACCAGACACCTTTTAAGAGTTCCGGGCCAACTCATCACGGCGGACATCGGGGGGGGGATAGCACTCGTTTTTAATTGGGATATTCACGTTGGGTTTTATTAGGAATTAGTTTTAGGGTTTTATTATTTTTGTATTTGGGTTTTATATAGTTTATTTGGCTATGGGTATTTTATTGGAGGATTTTAACTTAGTTTTATACAGCTAATGTTATTTTACACCCCTTGGAGTTTTAATGGTTTTATCCAGTGGTATATAAGGCACCTAATCAGACCATTCGATGTTCTGCTGCTGGAGAGACCTGCTGCTCCATATCCTCCCTGCACTTTTTTGCACCGCACTTTGTTTTTGCACTGGCACTTTGGGAATTTTGGAAAAAGAAATTAAAAATTTTGTGGACCACGCTAAACCTGCCTCCATCATCTGTTCTCGGTTTCTCACTGCAATCCAGCCGCTCTACCCGTCCTGGTCACACTACCTAATGTGGTTTTGCAGTACGGCATTAAGAACATCAAAATAGCAGTGCATTTCATCTTTTGACTTGTTGAGTCTTCACGCAAAACAATGTCGTAACACCAAGTTCTACCCGAGTAAACACTTTCTGAGACAGTAACTACAGAGAAACTATCACACCCTAGTTGTTACAGTAAGGCGTGTCTGTTATTGGTCAAGTCAACTGAAATACTCTGTGATGTTTTGCGTGATCGTTCAAGCTCCTAACTCCTTAGACATTCCTCTTACACTGGCGGCATCAACAAGGGACCTGGTTACACAATTCCGATGTCTGGTCTTGAGTTAGTGTCACTTTATGTGTATGTAGAGTGACATCGCTAACGCAGTATCCAACTAAAACAGATGTCGTAGGATCTGAGCATGCAAGTATCCCTTTCTGTCCCATCTGGAGTATGTAACCCACGTTACGTAACACCACGTCCGGTGGCACCCTTACTGTGGCGGGATAACCCTCTTTAAGTTCCGGCGCCACACACACACACACACACACACACACACCCTTCCTGCTCCTCTCCTCCGGGGCTACAGCGCTGTGGCTAAACGTTTGGAAAAGGACGCCTCACCATGGATCTGATAAAGATTTACCGTCACCGCTACACTCTTCTTTCCTTCCCCTCAGAACACATCTCAAAGGTGAGTGACAAAACTACCTCTCCTGAAAGATCTCTGCAATTTGTCCCAACCTGTCAACACCCACGTAGTCAGCTAAGCTAACGCCCACCACTCCCACAAACAAACGCCGTCAGCGCGGCAAACAAATTGACTTTTTAGTTTAATTCCCGCTTTATTTTACTTTTCACTCAACCCGAATGCTTCACCAACGCCATTCGCATTGAACGGACAAATTTTTAATTGATTACCCCAAACATTAATAGAATGTTAGCTTATTTTTCTGCACGAGCCCAAGCGGCAATGATCATTTTGAAAGCAACCGGTTGCGCAACAGCACGACATTGAATTGATCATGAATCCTATTGATATTGATTTATTTGTTTAAAGGTGCACCATATTTTTGTAGTATTATTTTAGTTTATTAGTATTATTAATTATTAGACAAATGATAGCCAGATGTTTATTTTTGTGAGTTTTGAATTTATGTGTGATTGAATTTTCATTTCCTTTAGTAATGGTTTATTACTCCAGCTAAGGCTAATTTAAGTTAATGTGGCAAGGTAGCTGAACATGTAGTCTCTGCCATGTGACACAGATGTCACATGGCAGAGACTACAAAGGTCAGAGGGGAACTAGGTGACTTCCTCTTCCTGAGCAGGCCTAACAAACGGCTATTTCTGGGTTTTAACAGTCCAGATGAGAGAGGCTCAGTGCTGGTTGCCGTTTTTGAGTTTTGCTTGTTAATTCATTACAGCTCTGCAGTGGGTGTGGGCTGGAGGTAGCTGGGTGTGGAGGGGGCTCACATAGAGGGTGACCTTATTTATAGTTATTGGTGATGGTGGCACTTGTAAATGGGTGTTTTCAGTTGTGGTAATGGTTTTCTTTGTATTAATCTTGTTTGTTTCCTCACATTATAGCATGTCTCCTTCACCCCAGCTTTAGGGTGGAGCCGCACCCCTGCAGTAGTATCCTCACTTGTTAAAAGCACCTTTTAATATTTTTTTGTAAATAAATGCTGCCGTATGGCTGTAAGACCCATACACTGACTGGCTTGCTTTGTTATTAAAGCTACCTTTGAATTGCAGGTGTTACATACATTTATTTCATGGCTAATTTTTGTTTTACTGACCCTGTTCCAGGTCAGGTTTTTTCCCCACACTGGATCATTCTCTTGCACATCAACACCACTACACTGGATGGCGAGCTACAGAACTTTAATGAACTATATCACCCTCTACCCCTGCCTATTAACTGGACGCTTGACTTGGAAAGACATTTACTGGTTTTGTCATTTTTTTGTGTGTGTTATTTTATTTCTGTTAAATCATACCTATATATACATATCAATAATAATAATAATATAATATAAATAAGTTTCTATTATTCATACCCTTATATATTTATACTCTGAATTTATATAATTAATATATACCTTTGAACTAATTTTGTGTTCTGTTTTATTCACACACCTTCACTCCTGCTGGACCTTCTTCTGATTGCACAGATCGCTGCCATATCCTAGCCCTAGTCCGTTACAAGTACAATTATTTTCATGGCTTTTATCTGGGATGTTGTACTTTTTGGTCAACACCCAGAACTCAGGACATCAGATGTGATTAGATAAGGAGGTAAATAGAACGTTTTCCATAAAGAACAAAAAAGTGGCTGTTTGCTGCAGGTGTTCCTCAGAGCCAGTTAAGGTTGAAAAATGTTGGCTTTGGCCATTCAAATAAAGGCCTTTTAACTATATTTTTGATTGTGCGATTTTTTTACTTTTTCTACTTGTTTCGGAGTGCCTGGAATCCGTTGTGTTTGAGAACGTTTTCCATGTTTGAGGCAAATTCAAATGAAATACTGTATTTTTCGGACTAAGACACATCGGATTATAACGTGCAATATCAGCAATGTTGAATTCTTTCGTCTATTTTCCATACATAAGGCGCATCGGATTATAAAGAGCATTAAGCCAAACGAACAGACTACACTTGATCCTTTAGCCCAGGCATCCACGATCCATCGGCAGATCGTGGCGTTTTTTTTATTTTTTTATTTCCTACAAGGACGACTCAAATATGCATTGAGTAATAATGTGTTTAATGCAGCTTTGCCACATTTGTTTACATTTTAAATAAACAAAACTTAATCTCATTTGCATAAATGCTCATTTGCATAAACTATAAACGCTGAAAAAACAGCTCGCTCCTTGTCGGCTTCTGTCAGACTTACTCCATGAGGATCCTGACTACAGTAGCTGTAATGCTCCGACAATCCATCAAGCGGTGCGGCTTCGTAGCTTACCAAAGTCATACTAAAACATTTTGACAGGTTTTTGAGCGCCGTGTACCACATAAAATCAGTTCGAAGTCAGTAAGCACAACCAGAATTAATACATAAGGGGAACTGTTTTTGAGAAATTAAGGCGCACTGTTTTTGAGAAATTTAAATGATTTTAAGTGTGCCTTATAGTCCTGAAAAATACAGTAACTGTGCCGCTACGCTCTTACTCCTTTTCATCTGCAACTGGACTTAAGGTGTTTTTTTTTTTTGCTTGTTTTCTATAAATATTACGATAGATCTAATGCCTGTGTATTTTTACACAGAGGGATCTGGTTCCCACGCCCGCCATCGTGCCAGTGCCATGCATGTAAAACAAAGGAGCTCACTGGTCACTCATCATTTACAGTAGAACCAAATTTTACAGAAGCCTAGAGGGGTCACAACAAACGCAAATGCCGCAACAAGAACTACAACGTGAAACGAATAATGATAAAACAATACATTACTTTTACTCACGTTTCCAACTTGTCCGTTCCTTTACTTTTCACATTGTAGTTCTTCTTCTTCACTTGTCGCTTGATCGGTCCGTCGGAAAATAGAGTCCCGCGGTCACTTCTGTTGTGGCTTTTTAATGTGTTGTGGCTTTTTAATGTGTTGCGGCATTTGTGTTTGTGTTGTGGCATTTGTATTTGTTGCGGCGTTTGCATTAAAATAGAGTCCCACGGTCATTTCCGTTGTGGCTCTTTTTTTTTTTGGTGTGTTGTGGCTTTTTGTTGTGTTGTCGCATTTGTATTTGTTGCACCGTTTGCATTTGTTGTGACCCTCTCGGCTTCTGCAGAAATCTTCAAGGTGACTCAGATGTTTTTTTTTTCTGTTCTTGTTTTGTCATAAGCAGCCATATTTGCTTTGATATGGACTATGTGTCTCCCTAATTGGCTAATCCACCTGTCCGTCACGTCCAACTAAACTCGGGGACCAGACTCACATCTCCGTAAACTTTCGGAGAAGTGGATATTGTGGATCCTAGGCAAACATATCTAAATAAACCCCATGAAATATGAACGTCAAAGTGTCCAAAAGTACATACAACACAGAACTTTTAAATAATGGCTTTCAGAAGTAGTCACGAGGTATCTGGAACTACAAAAACCCTGGTATCACTTCATCATCTCATATTCAAATGAGGATGTGTGCAGAGTTAGGACACACTTTGTGAAATCTGATTGGCTGAGCTCACACAGTCAGCCCTTCTAAGAACACTCAATGGATTCAACTTTGATGCACTTAGCTCTGCAACTACAGGCACAATGTCACCTTGTAACTTTGCTCAGACTCTTATGTGCCTCAGCCTTGGCATTTGGGGTAAGTAAACAACTATTTTTATTCTTCTTGGCTAGGAAAACAAAATTTGCTAAATAATTTTTGACATTTCTCTCCAGGACCATTTCCAGCTTTATCCCATGTTACTCTGAGTGGTCGTGTTGGACAAAGTGTGACATTAAACTGCAACTGTCAGGACAGCAGTATTGTGATGTGCTACTGGTACAAGCAAGTTTTTGGAGAAATACCAGTGAGAATTACTTCTTACAACAAGTATGAGTCTAAAGGAGAACTTATGAATACTAAAGTGTATACTAAAGTGTTTATTAAAGCCAATTCTCAAGTCGATACTAAATTCAAGAATCGGTTTAGACTTAATAATACGGACAATTACAACAACTTAGAGATTAAGAGTTTGATAGTTTCTGACGCAGCCACCTACTTCTGCATGAGTAGTAATTTGTACAAGCTCGATTTTTTGGAAGTTGTTACCGTGGATGTAGACGGTGCTGGATTTCATTTTGCAACTTCAGACTATGAATTGACAGGGGAGAATTCCAGTGTTCAACGAGTCTCTGAGTTGAGTTGTATCTTCAACAACGGAATATGTGAAGAAAAACACCAAGTCTACTGGTTTAATAATTTGTATGAGTCTGCAAAAGGGATTCTTTACAGTCATGGAGGCAGCAGTGATCAGTGTGAGGGGAGGATGGACAGTTCAACAAAGTCCTGTGTCTACGACCTTCCTGTACGCAGTGACAGCGCAGACAGTAATTTGGAAAAATGTGCTGTGGCCTCATGCGGGAAACTGCTCTTTGGGACTAAAAGCAAATCGGACTCTGAAGGTAAATACTATGATGTATGTGTACTGGGTTGGTTCTCGTTCTGGTTTAGTCCCAGTTCTAAATCCAGTTCAGTACAAATGTCCATTACACCATTTGAATCCAATGGCGATTCATGGGTAATTCCTTCCAGTTCTTCTACACACTGTACATCCGTAGATATTTTAGGGTTGTCCATACTGATGTAGCTGAGGAACCCAAACCCTGACCTGGAGTTGTGTTTTGTTTCATTCACACTAGTTCTTCACTCAGAGTCTGTTTACATGAGAACACTTGTGGGTAAAATCGACCAAATATTTTATCGGAAGTCCCTTTCATTGTTAGACGGTGACGAAACCACCCTCCAGAGTGGAAAAGTTGAATAGGCTCTACTGTAGTGTTTCCGTCTACACTGCCCAAGACGCAAAACTCTGATCAGATCTGCTCAGGTCACATACATTTACGTCACATACATATATAGTACACAGAAACAACCATGTGGGATCATTTCCATGTGTCGGACCTTCAAGCTGTTCTGGCAGCTCTAATAAACTTACAGGAGGCTCCCAACAAATGTACAAAATATAAAGAGATACTATTAGTGAACAGAGAAGGATCTGTACGGAAGCCGAGAGGGGTGACAACAAATGCAAACAACAAATACAAATGCGACAACACAAACACAAATGTTGCAACACATCAAAAAGCCACAACAGAAGTGACCGCTGGACTCTATTTTCTGACGGACCGATCAAGCGGCAAGTGAAGCACGTGAAACGAATAATGATAAAACAATAAATTACTTTTACTTGCGGTTCCAACTTCTCCGTTCCTTTACTTTTCACATTGTAGTAATTCTTCTTCACTTGCCGCTTGTTTGGTCCGTCAAAGCAATAACCTCTCCATGGAGACAAGCAGGCTTTTAATTACTCATAAAAACCTCAATTTTGTTATTCTTGTATTAACTGCGATGTTTATTTTCTTATTTCAGACAAGTCCACGCCCTCAGTACTGGTACAAGTCTTGAGTGGAGCTTTGGTGGGGACTTTAATCCTGTGTGTGTTACTTTCACTGGTGATTTACAACATCAAGAAGAAATGTGAGTAACATTGAGATCAACACATTTTAAAAGAGACGTATTATGCTTTTTCTTTTGAGTATTTAGTATTAAACTATAACATACATCTACATTTTGATCATTGTAAACCAGGACGTTTCTCTAAACAGCTTAATAATCGAAACAAGTCCACTGACGTCTCGTTCAAAACTGCAGGAGTGACAGGCCCACCTCTTCATGGACACTTTACAGCATGAACACAGTGGATTTTCAGTTATTTATGCATATTGTTGAAAAATGTGTGACATTTTAGAACCCTACATGTATTTTTCTGTTTTTCATAATACCAAGTAAATAGAGGTTAGTGGGCGGGAATGGGAAAGAAAAAAAAATGCACTAATGAAAATAAAACAGGTACCAAAAAAAAAAAAAAAAAATTTTTATTTTTTTACTTAAATTTAAATTTTTTATTCTTATTTTTTTTCAGCACAACCTACAGTGACCACAGAGGTAGGACATCTGTTTTTTGATTTACTTTTTTTTGTGTAATGTGATTTTATTTTTAATAGTGCTGCCAATCGATTAAAATATTTAATCCCGATTCATCTCATGAAAGGCATAGTTTACTCGTGATTAATCTGAAATTAATTGCACATTTTTGTCCCTTTAATCATCATTTTAATACTCTTATTAACATAGAAAAGTGGATAGGCTTTGTGCAAATGTTTTGTTTTGTTTTTTTTGTTTGTTTTAATTGCAAACCATAACAGTTGTCAGTGAGACAACTTTGTGTTTGATGTTCCACTTTCATGAAGTGCTCTGACAGTGTGAGCAGAGTGCCCTTCCTCTGTCTTCAGAACAGTCAAAGCAAATGAACTTCCCATGGTTCACCGTCACACATGCACAACCGAACCATCATCACACAGCACTGTTTGTTTACATGTCGTGCAGCAAAGCTAACGCTTGTAAAATGAAATAAAGAAAATAAGTCCAGCAGCAGAAATATCTACTAAATAGTGAGACCGCACTGCTCCGTGAGTTCATGGATATAGTAATAACAGCTCGGAGCAGTGATGACTGCTGGAGGAGAGGTCCTGCAAAACTTCTGTCTCAGTCACAGTCCTTATCAAAGATAAGTGTGGATTCACCGTAGGTTTTGGCACGTTCTTTATTTTGATTCTTTATTGTGTTTTTCTCATATATACAGTATAACGAATTACATCAGCGCATACAGGGCTTGTATAGTAAAGTCGTGTGTGTGTGTGTGTGTGTGTGTGTGTGTGTGTGTGTGCGCGCGCAAGAGCCACTGTGCCGTGCTTTGGTCCACCTCCTCTAACCAGGACTTCTCTGTGTTTCATATAAATAGTTTCGCTTCTGATTTACAGTCAGATCCTGTAGTTTTTCTAACGTCACTAGCCTTGGCCAGAGCTGATGAAATAAACTAGTTCACTAGGTCACAAAAAACATTAAACTCGTGCAAAAAAATTAACGCTGTTAAAATTGTTTTGCATTAACTCGTTAATAATGCAATGTTTTTGACAGCACTCATTTTTAAATGTAAGTTTTATTTTTGTTTATCATTTGGTCAGAATGAAGAGGACATCCACTACGCGGCCTTAAAGCATCAGAGCTCCAGCAGACCGAGAAGTCACACCGACAGCACCAACACTGAATGTGTTTACTCTGGGGTTCGACTGTAGAAAGTGACATTACATGTGTTTAGTTACTGTGTATATTAACATTGTATGACAGAATATTATCCTCTGATTTACTGACAATTGTGAACTAAATCTTTATCTTCTGTACAATTCTGTGATTTTAAATGTGTGAATGTATAAATGGTTTTTAAAAAAGAATAAGCTTGAGTGGTACTTGTGCAAAATGTAGTCAAAAATACATCTGAGCTCTCCCTCCTGTCTCCTGTTTCTCCATGGACACTGCTGCAGGACACAGAGGAGGGACACTTTTGTCCTCAGGACTGCTGCTTGTTACGTTACATTGACACTTTTCTATTATTATTATATTTTACTGCTCTATGTATTTAAAGTGATTGGGTGATTTTTATTTGATCTGACTGAGTCACTCTTTACCTTGTAAAAATAAAAGTCATTTTTTGAAACATGAACAGAAGCCTACATTTTACACAGTGTTTTCTTCAGGGCTCAAGTGGAAATACAGCATGTAATGAAAATATGTAATTGTGTTTTTAGTTCTTGTTCTTTTTTATGAAAAATATAAACAAAACAAACCACCACCAGATGAGTGGGTGTCGTCCATAAACTCTCAGTCATGTGTACTGACTCTGGTCCATCTGTGATGCATCTGCAGGTGAACTCGAACATGTTGATCTGACAGTTTGTCCTGGAGCCGAGCAGGAGGATGGTGATGAGCAGATTAACTGTGTGATCTTCACACTCGACTGTGTTGGCAGAATAATAGTTTTGAGCTCTTCTGTGGAAACCCTCTGTAGTCTGTATATTTTTACACTATTCCAACCACACACTTTGTTTCGTTCTTTCTCACCAGCAGAGCATTATGCATGTTGTGGCATACCAATATTTTGGGCACTAGTGTGAAGATCCTTTCTAGTCTATGTATTTTTAAATCTTAACCACACACTTTGTTTCAGTCTTTCTCACCTTTTTTTTTTTTTTTTTTTTCAAAATTATTTATTTGGCAACAAAGCAACCAATCAGGTGTAGTTACGTTAATGCTTTAGTCAAATCAGATGCCCCAGTTCTGGACTTTAAATTGTGTCAGCTCCTCACCTCAGATCACAACTGTCTGTCAAGAGCCGTCATGAGTCCTGTCTTTATGGTTTTGCTTCTGAGCCTGCTCTGGTCTCAGGGTAAGTTAGAACATCATCACTTTACCTTTAACATCATTACATCAGATTTATGTTGATTACTGTCCATACAATGAGCATATGTTTTTTTGTTTTTTTTCTTTTCAGCTGAGACACAGTCTCAACCTGAGGCTCATTTCATGTAAACTGTAAAGTCAACAGTGGATCGAGAACTCTGGTCTGGTACAAACAGGACACCAGCAGGAAACTACAACTGTTAATATCAACAGTTACCAGTAAAAACAAAAATATCAACCCTGGAGATCGTTACTCTCTGCAGTCTTCTGGTAGCTCTTTGATAGTATCACATGTGACCTGGGAGGATGCCGGCACGTACTACTGTGGAGTCATGAATGATAATGACATCAGCTTTGAACCAGGGACTGAGGTGGTGGTGGAGGAAGAGTCCAGACCTCCTCCTTCACTCCTGTCTGTGCTCCAGAGTCCAGACTATATCAGCGTCCAGCCAGGAGACTCTGTGACTCTCAGCTGTTCAATTAACACCAGACACTGTACGAAAGACCACATCAGTGTCCAGTGGAAGACAAAGACCTCAGCTTCAGAAATAATTTCAAGGAACGTTGGTACTGAAAATCACATCTGTGAGAATCAGATCAATACTTCATGTGTTCATAATGTGACTTTGAAGCTCAGTTCTGCTGAAGATGAGACGTACGTGTGTGGTGACGGCCTGTGGACACACAATGTCAGGAACTGAGACCAGGATCCATCTATACAGTAAGAAATAAGTAAACATTTACTTCAGTTTTAGTAACATTGTTATATTCAGAGTACGTCAAGTCAGATATTCTGTCAGAGAGGTTTGATTTCTTCATGTATCTTTTTGCACATTTTAGAGCAGAGTCTCTAACTGAGAGACCAGGGTTCGAGTCTGTACCCAGATGCCAACCCATACAGACCTGGACCTATAGTTCACAAATTATTAAATTACTTTTCATTTTGACAGGGTGATCCAATTTTAAGCTTTTCTCTAAAGGCCGCTACACACTACAGGAGAATTTGCCTGATTTTGGCTGCGATTTGCCTCTATAAGACTACGCACACTTCCCCACAGTGAAGGAACAGGTTCAGGGACAGAGAGATGTGTCCTCTTTTGTTCATTTTTTATTAATTTATTTTTGATAAGCTGATTGAAAACTTCAGCAAAGGTTTTGATAGCTTCAGCTTTGGACAGCAGCTCAACATGTTCATACAAAAACATTTCTCACCACCGATGTCAGAGGGTTCTCAAAGGAAGTCACACAACACTTTAAGTGGGCAAATGCTCGGCCTCTCCAGATGGAACTGGTTGATCTCCAAGTAGATGTGGCCCTGAAAGAGCAGTTTGGAAGAACTGAACCTGACACTTTCTGGCTCCAAATGGTCTCTGAGACAGCTTTCCCAAATCTGAGGAAAGCAGCTGTTTACACCTTGACCATGTTTGGCTCCACATCCAGCGATGAAGAAGCTTTCTCCACAGTGAACATATAATAAAACAAAATATTGTTCCAGACTCACCAATGAGCACCTGCACATGTGTATGAGAATGGCCCTGACACCTTTCTAGCCCAAATTGAAAATCCTGGTAGGGTAAACTAAAGCTCAGTACTCACACCAAACAACAGAACGTGTGGAAGTGGAATATAAGGGGGAAAGAAGAGAAACTGTAAAAATTGTTAAGATGTTTTGAAATATCTGTTGAAAAATGAGTTGAGACTGTTAAGTGGAGATGTGAAAAGTAAAGAAAAAGCTTTCTACTGAAATCTGCTGCTATTTTTATTTATTTATTTGTTTTCTTTCTGAAATTAAGCACTTTTAGCCATTTTATTTTCTCTAATTCATTTTAACTGCAGCCTTATACTTCACGTAGGCCTACTGTGTGTTTGAGTGCTAATACATTTTGTTGAAATGTTTTTAACTTGTATTTTAAGTCTATTGTTCATATGTTCAGACAATGATAAAACTCGGCTCCTTCTGTATCACAATCATAAAGCAGATTAGACATGATGATGAACCGGACCTCTGCTTGAGGAGATGTTCTCTAACAGGACCTCCTCAAATTTTAGTTGAGATTTAAAGATTTAAAGATACATTGCACAACTTTTTCTGGTGGAGGCTCCATCCCCTGCTTTCTTCATGGAGATGTTATTGCTTTGTCTAGAATATCCCATGGTAGAGATTAAATTTATCTCAAGGGAAACAACTATAGGCTACATTATAGGTCAGATCTGTGAAGAGGCGCCCTATTCACAGAAAGTATTTTTGAGCAATAGAAACACCCGTAATGAATAAATGCTAGATAGATGTGTTTAATGTCATACTGTGAAACATTATAGGAAAAGCAATAACATTTCCATGGAGACAAGCAGGTGATGGACCCTCCACCACAAAAGTAGCGCAGTGCACCTTTAAAGTCTCACTGCAGTTGGTTAGAAAACATGCTCTGAGTCAGGAATGATATAAACTTCTGCATTAACCAACGTTTTCCGTACTGTTAATGTTATAATGTTTTCTTTGATAGAATCGTCTGACGTGCCTACTCCAAGTCCCACAGTCATAGCTCTGGTCGGGTTGAACGTTACTATCGCAGTGTCCAGGCTTGTGCTAGTGGGAGTGGTGTGAAGAAACCACCAAAAACAAGGTATGAACTGAGTAGTTGTTCCTTTTTCACAGTAAGTACAGAATTAGACTATTAAATGTATTCTTTTTATTGTCAGAGCTACGCACGGAGAGCCATCGTGGATCTCAGCCGGACATTCAGGTCAAAATTATTTATATATTTACTCTTATTTGCATGTATAAACTTTTTACGCTACTGTTTTTAGGCGGAAGATGGAGTCATTTATGCAAGTGTGAACATAGTACCCAGGAAAGCAACATCCAGACACTGTTGAGGAGAAGGCACTGTACTCTCAAGTGAAGATTTAATCAAAAAGACAAAACTGTCCTGTGAAACAAACAATGATTAAGTAATCTACATGTCCTGGTAGAATTCAAACGTAGTGTAGTTTGACTGTTCTTACCTGTTGTGTACATGAAGCTGAATGCTCCAGAATGCACTGCCTTGAGATTGTTTGCTGTTTGACTTGCTTTTTTTTTACAGAAATGTGTTTACAATAAAACATTGATATGGGTGTATATTATAATCAAATTCTAATATACTTTACATTTACTTTACTTTTTTCTTCCCAAGTACCCCCTAGTATGTGTGCATGTACCTGTACCTCTATACAGATCTGAGTCTTTTAAAGATATAGTTTATCGTTCATTGTTTTCAGTTATTTAGAATAAAGGTAAAGGTAGAAAAGGATTGATATACCATATTTTTCAGACTATACAGCGCACTGGATTATAAGGTGCAATATCAATAATGTTAAATTCTCTCTGTTTTCATACATAAGCCACATTGAGCGAAACAAAACAGTCAGATAAGTCAAACTTTATTCAACTCATTCACAATAACTGTGACAATAAGAACCTGACACAATTTAAAAAAAAATAATAATAATAAAGTAAATAAATAAATAATGTCTCTGTTGTCAGCAGGCAACCTCTAATACATATTTGATATGATCTCGAGGGACAAATATAATTATATCTTGGGCCAAATTTGGCCCCCGGGCCTGAGTTTAACATGTCTGCTATAGAGACTTCACACTCTTTCAGTCCACGTCTATTATAAAGTCAGTGGGCACAATCAGCATTCTTCCCTCACCACACGTCCTGCATGACATCTGCTGTCATGTACACTCAGTTTACACTGTGTGCACTATTAATAAGCATGTGGGCATTTTGACCATATCATGAGTTTTATGCATATTCTCCAACTTCAAGCTGTACAAACTTCAATTCTTA